GCCTCTAACTCGAAAGTCTGACCTGCTCAGCTGCAGGGGACAAGGAATAAGGCATTACTGTCTCATTCCTGATGTGGCGGCGCACAGCAGGTGCCTTTTGAGCAGAACCGGACTCTGGTTTTAAAAGTATTTCAACAGTATTGAATAATGCACCGGCGGTCACGGTTAACCATTGGGCAATCGGTGTGCGGTTTTTCGGGCAGATCTTTCCTAACCAGTCCTCCCTCAGAGGAAGGCAGCATCACATTCACACTTCTGCCGTGGGGGATAGTACGAATTTACCCGCAGACGACTCGTAGCACGGTTACCCGTAGTACGGGATCTCGCTGCTCTTGGTCTGACTGCTTTCCTTTGGCCTTCCTTGCATGGTTGCACCTTGTGGGACGAAGTTCCAGCCAATGTAGCTCGCGGAATCATTGCAGCACTCAAGCCCGACCACTACATCAAGCTGGCAGCTTTAGGTCGGGTAGCCGCCATATCGTTCACTGTCGCCGGCCAAGCATAGAAAATATCATGCAGACCCCGTCCTGGAAGGCGAACGGTACCGACAACTTTTCGTAGCACCCTTCATCTCTTTCTGCTGTGTCAGCTTCCGTCTATCTCTGTGTTTCCAACACTCCGAATCAAGCAAGGAAAACAACCCTTATCTCGGAAGGCAGGAACTCGGCATGCATACCACACGATCCATCCATCTTGGCGTGCAGCGCTGGATGCACTCCTTCAGCGAAGTGTCAGCTGTTTCACTAAAGACCGGTTTTCAGATCGCCTCATTGTGAATTGGATGGTTACAGCCAACCCCAGCTATAGCTCTGAGACATCGGTGGTAAAATAATCTGAAAATTTCCTAGATCCTTCAATTGAAGTGGTCAATTCTCGCAGCAGTACAAAAATACACCCCGCAGCGTAGTCTATTACACGTGTCTTTCAAGACCCAGCGACGTGCTTTTTTGACACCATAAGCAGCGAAAACTGGCGAAAGCAATTTTAGACTTTGCGATTCGCGAGTTGACTTCGTCTGGCACACTATCATAAGAGCTAATGTAATCTCCGAGATACCTCTAGCGTTCCACAACTTCACTCCTTGAATTCTCAGACAAACGTAATAAGACGACGTCCCACAACATGAATTTACACTTCGCGAACACGAGTTACATGCCGAAGAACTGGGTAACCTTGTTCGCTTAAACTGCCCTTTTTCAGCGCTTGCTGTGGTCTCTCAAAAATGAGAAAAATATCGCCTCAAAATTTCAGGTAGACATTCTAGCTCAGAAAGACCTGAACATCGGAGTTTTAGACCTTCCAGTGCTCGTCTCGTTATGTCAACAACCAAGAAAGCGAATAAAAATGGAGTGTGTATCTTTGTCGGACATCTTTGCTTGTGGCAAAATTTTGAAGAGCTCCTCAGACACCCACGTTCCCACAAGTGAGTGGATCAAAAAAGCACATGATTACCAAAACCTAAAGCTGTCACCTTTTCGTGGTAGTTGCGCTTCAGTGCTGTGATGATCCTGTGGGATATATTGACTGGAAATCAGTTCAATCATGTCATAAAGGCCAAAGGGGAGTAGACCGACGGAGAAAAGCGAGTCCTCGTATTGCGAATAATCGTACTACGAGGCGGTCTAGAGGTAAAGTCGTACTGACCTCTGCGACAGGAGCGTGAAGACAGTAAGGTGTTTCCCCCAGGCTACCAGCATGTCCTTAGTTATGGAGACGCCAATGCTGCCTTCCTCCGAGGAAGGATGGGTTAGCAAAGGTCGGCTCTAAGTATCGCACACAGGTTGCCCAATGGTTGGCCGAGAGCACTACCGCATTATTCTATAGGGCCGAAGTACTTTTAAAACCAATGACTCCGGTGTTGCTCAAGTCACATGCTGTGCGCAACTGAATTACGAGTGAGACAATAATATCTTACTCGCTGCGTCCTCGGGCTAGGCCGACATCCTGCAACCAAGTGGGTCAGACTATCGAGTCGGCTCCCGGGGAGGGAGCGATGCCATCTCATAGTCGAAATTTCTGGGCTGGTTGGTAGCAAGGTTTCCAAAGAAAACCCGACAGTGTCCGGCTGCGTTGTGGGCCTGACATTTGAGTCAAAGGCTCAAGGTGGGTTACCTAAACCAAACCTCCTTCTTCTACTTGGGTAACCGGGAAGTATCATTCGCCCTTACAGCTGTTCGCTCACCGGCGTTCCTCACGCCCCCACAGAGAAGTCCTGAGAGACGGAATAACTTGGGGGAGAACTAGAATGTGAAAAATGAAGAGAGCAGGCGTCATCAGTAGCATGTCTTTACATACCCACCTTACTGTATACAGCAAGTAAGGCGAACCAGATGGCACCACGCGACCGCCGAGGTGGCATCAGATTACTTGTAAATGTGCAATTCATAATCGTACATCGACTGGTATACTGCCACAGCGCACAGACCTAGATGGGAGGACGACCAGGACGACCAGCCAGAGCGAGGCAACAAGTTTTGGCTGGAAATGTCAGTACATTGAAGAACGAGTCGCCATACATGTTCCAACCCTTAACTTGAAGGACCAACAGACTGTGGTGATCAGACCTTTAACCAATGACCAACCTGGCATGAAGGACTGAGTGTCGCACGGACACTCCCTAGCATGGCGCAAAAGGTCAAGGAGGTACACACACTACACCACGAAAAGGTCCACTCACATAGTGACGGTGACGGAGATCCAATGAGAAATTTCACTCTTTATGAAAAAGTAACTGATCCAGGTGGCTGGAATTCTGCACTCTTTAAAGAAGGTTAAGAGTCCTCAGGATTTCACACCAAACTATCGGTAGCACGCGAAGAATGGAGGTCCGGGATGGTGATCCCTACAGTAAAAAAAGGGCAAGAACATCGTGCGAAAACTACTGAGGCATCAAACTAGTGACCATAGCTTCGAAGGTGCTTTCTGGCATTATCCTTCGCAGGTTGACCCATTATCGAGTCAAGCTGGATTTCGCGCTGACCTGGGCTGCATCGATCACATATTCACTTTGCCACAAGTGCTGGAACTGGGCCATCCCCTTCGTCTTCCTTGTTTTCAGATCTGCCTTCGGCAGTGTCTGGCGACGAAGAGTGCCCCTTACAAACTCTTGTCTTCTGTAAAGGCTGCATACGGCCCTTCCCGTGGATGCGTACGTGTCTACAGCAAATACTCTCCTGAGTTCACCACATTCAGCGGTATCAGATGTGTCGCCTGCAGCCCCTTTTCTTTAACTTCGTAATGAATGTACTGCTTGCATCTTCTTCACCTGTCTCTAACGCTTCTGGGATCAAAACACTGCCAGGACTTTCGGTCACGGACATTAAGCACGCCAACAATATTGCTATCCTTGAACCAGAAGCATGATATGCCAACAAATTTGAATAACCTAAAAAATTCGGCCGCACGTTCTGGTATGCGCTTCGCGCCTGTAAGGTGTAAAGTGCTGCTGAAAGGTTGGATGGTGAATCTATCGACGTGATAGATAAGTTTCTCTACCTTGGCAGCTGAATAAGTCCCAAAGAACTGGTGAAAGAAATCACTCCTCGAACTGAGAAGAACAAGGCAGTGTCTATTAACATTTTCGGCGTCGTGACGAAATTGTGACTGCGAAAAGTAGTGTACAATGCCGCGGTACGATCTAATTTATGGATCAGCGACTTCGTCGATGTGTGCGGAAGACCATCTGTGTTGGAGCATCAGTGTCTCCGAAGTGTTGTGCGGGTCTGGTGGGAGCATCAGGCCAGTAATGCTGAGGTACATCAGATAGTTTTCTGGTTGGCTTACTCTCTAGCTCACCACGCTCCACAGGTTACGCAAGTTGGTCATTGTAGCTCGTATGCCAGAATATTGCTAGACTCGTGGGGTCCTATTTGCTAACCTCGTATCGGAGACAACCGCGATCAGTCCACGATTTAGCAACAAGGCACGAAAGCCCTCCGTCAATTCAACACGTTGGCAGCTGCTGTCACCACGATGAATAACCCGGAACAACACTAATCAATGGTTGGTGACCATGACAGATATGGCTGTGCCACGCAGCCAATGGTGGTCCTACTATTGCTTTCACCGCAAAGCTTTCACTCCTGTCACACTGACCATTCGACGCTAGTGAAGTAACTAGGCTATCGCGCCCAAGGTGTGGCTCTCATTTCCTTGTTCTCCTTATCCACGATGAACCAAGTCGTAGCATCTGGAACCACCGCACTTCAGTACAGGGTGTGCACGATTGAAAATTGAGAACACTTGAATTGAGTACCACCTGTGGTGTAATCCGGCCAGCTTCATTCAGGCATGGAACTTCTAATAAGACTATGGCTTTGCTGGAAGCCCAGAGGCAGACGTCCTTCAGTAGCAAATACAATGTAGGTTGATGGATCACTAGGCTTTAGGTAAAACTTAGCGTGCGTGCCAATCCCGGGGCGAGGTGAGCCGAGAAGGCCGAAAAATGGAGCGAAAAGACCTCAGAATTGATTAAAGTCTGACACGGACACACTACTTGCTACCTGGACAGCGGGTGGGTAAAGGAGGCCTGAACTGAACTTCAAAGGGTACTCTCGCAATGCTTTGGGCAAGCGTCATCCAACTTCTGGTTCCAAAGCGAGAGTTGTTTTCAGTGCCCGCACAGCTGAATCGCACCTCGAAGGAAGACTGCTAAACTATGGGAGTGAACTGTGTGCAAATCCACATAATGAATGAGGATTTTATATTTATTCACAAACCACCACGTGGTGCTTCACCTAAAACATCCGTTACTTAACACTCTATGTCAGTCGTTTTCGTCATTCATTGTACACACGATACGATCGGGAACTGTTTGACGATTAAATCTGTGAAAGCATATGATACCTGACTGGATTTGATAAGTTTGCACTAGTCAACGTGCACACAAAAGCAGTGTCCTGTGAACTAAGAGACAGGTTGTTGAGACGACAGAGGGAGTAAGAATAGTCGTATGGTCGAAGGGAATTTGGGAGGCTGTTGCACGGGTAATGAAAGCTTACTCTGATCCGGAATCCGAGAACTGTCCAACTTGAGTGTCTCGACGAGCGAAAGCTTCAGATTGTCGCGGGGCTTCAAGAAAACGACCTGTAGCTCCTCGCAGAAAACCATAACTTGCACTTCGGAAGGGCGAACGTTGACAGGGCACCAAGTTCCTAAAGACTGAATACAGAACAGTTTCGACAAACCTTCAACTTTTACACTACACGAGAGATGGGACGCAGTAATCACACACGGGGTATGCCGAGCATCAAAAATCCCCGATTTCCCCACGCTCAAAATCAGAACTGGGGACTTGACATGAGATGACGAGAGCTTAGGAAGTTTGGACGGAGGGGGCCCGACACAACTCTCTGTATCTATTAAACATCGACACAGGGTGCATTGCATGAGCGGTGGAAAGGCAAATCCGCTGCAAGCGGCACGAGGACACTTGTACACAGCTGATCCCGTGATTGCACACTGAGGTTCTCTAAAAGCGGAACGAATTAGATCCATTTTCAACTGATCACATACGACGCTTTTTTTCCAATTGCATCAGCAACTTCTTGAAGCATTTTCCATCACGAAAAGCAACGCTGGCGTCAGCGTAAACCACAACTGCACAGCCACACGAAAGGCGGCAAATATTGAACGCTCATTGGTCTGAAGGCAAGGGTGGCCAGATCATGACCTTTAATAGGTCAGGCTAGGCCATGCCATGTCAGAAGAGCGCAGAATCCGACTGGACGGTGTTGTAGGAATATGCAAGCTGCACAAACGCGTTACAGTACTTTTGGTTGTCAATTACTTAATTTGCCTTCTTCATGCCATTTCCAGCACTTATTTGAATGTAGACCATCGAAACCAATCATAAGCCAATTACGTATACTTTTACATTCAAGCATGATTGCTATTCACCACGCGAGATACGTCATCTTGACATTATTTCCAAATTCGCAATACCAACAGTCAGTACACTCTGGGATCAGACAATGTCGTCACAGACGCCCTGTGCCACCCTGACGTCAGCACTCCCCATCCTTGCAGGCATTTGGACCTTTCCAAGCTGGCGAAACTTCAGCACTTTGATCCTTATTTTACTTCCATACTATACTTCCCTTCATTTCAATTTCCTTCAATTGTCTTACCCCTCAGGTCTGGAAATATTCTTTGTGGTATGTCTACCGGCTCAGCTCGCCCAGTCGTCCCCGAAACTTTCCGACGGGTTGCTTTTGGCCACTTTAATGGACTTTCCCATCCAGGAATCAGAGCAACAAGAAAGCTGATTAGTTCACGCTTTGTATGTCCCTACGTGAATAAGGAGATAACAGCCTTGGCCAAACGGTAAATTGCCTGTCAACGCAGTCAAATATCTCGGCACACGAACTCACTACTCGGCTCATTTGCAGCCCATGATGTTCAATTCACACACTTCATCTTGATACCGTTGATCCAATTTCACCGTCGAACGGGGATTGACAGTTTCACCCGTTGGCCAGTAGCTGTACCATTTTGGATACTTCAGCTTAAATGGTGTTCTTTCCGTTTTTGCAGCATTGGGTGAGTAACTTTTGCATTCTTTCCACCGTTACTGCCGATCAGAGTTCACAATTTCAATGTAATATCTCTCGTGAGTTTTCTGCACTACTTGGTTTCCATCACATTTCGACGCCCGCGTTTCAGTCTTGTTCGAACAGCCCGGTTGAACGTTTTGTGCGGCGCCGACAAGACGATCAACGCGAATAGAAGACATCTCACCCGATCTCCTGACACGACGCGACGAGGAAACCTGTTCAACCGTGTTATGACGGTCCCTTTAAGTTCATCGAACGTCATTCCAAGTACCTCGTTTAGGAAAGAGGCGGAAAGCATGATACAGTCTCCATTGATTGTCTGATGCTTGCCTTCATTGAAGCACCCACGACCACACCGAGCAATCCTGCCATCCCACTATTACCCGCACCTGCTCAGGAAACCCATACCGTCAAACTAACTCCTTCAATTAGTCGTTCTGGATGGTGCGTCCATCTCCCTCCGCACTTGGCTGATTAGGAAACCCGAAGTGAGCAAATTTCTTACTATTTTTTTCATTTTTCGACCGTTTTTCCTCTTTCACTATCAACGCCCTAGTGGGGGAATAATGTGATGTTATTATTTTTCTTCCATTATAACATAACGTATTTTGTCAGTTGCACAGCCATTTTTTGTTTGCATACGAAAAACTACAAAATTATGCACTTGTGTAATTTCGCGCAATACAATCGTGGTCACGTGCCTCGACTCTCTCTTCTGATTTCGCTCGCGCTTACAGCGGTCATTCGCGAGTCTCATGTGCTAACTCGGGTATCACAACATTTCAGACTATCGCTTCGGAACCTATAGGTGAGAACTGTTCAGAACAACGCCCCTGAACAAACGATCGGATTATTGTTTATTCGCTGACCTGAGGACAATCCTCAGTGAGTCTGTTCCCTCTGGCCTCTTTATTATTGTACATTGGTACTAGCATTTTCATTATTTTTTTCGCCGCGCGGCAAAGTAGCTTTCCGGCTGAACAGACCATTACAAGGTCAATTCGCAAGCTGCTTTTTATTTTGGCTGGCTGTTGTAACTGCTGTCCTCGTACTTGTGCACACCGCTGAGTATAAATCCTTGGCTATGTACAGCGAATGTGGAACCGGTCCGGGCAATGTATATGTAAAGACCTAACTCACTGTGCTGGAACATGGGAAGTTATGGTGCACAAGGTGGCCATCTGGAAAGATGTTACATTCATCTGCAGGCTCTAACCGAGTTGCTAGGTGTTTGAGAACCGTTTTGTGAGCGCCAAAAACTAATGACCACTATCGACGCGGTCTCTTTAGTGCAGTGATCAACCCGACGGTACCTCCTATATCATCCGCATGTGTCAGTGTGCCTGAGATCCTGATTAGCGGCATGTGTCGTCGTGGAGTAGTGATCGCGGAGGAGGGAGCTGTCACCTCGAAAACTTCCAGCTGGTCGCAATAGTATGTTGTGGACATCTGATTCTTGCAAAGGAGCCAGTCGCTGAGCTGGAAGGCCTTCTTAATAGCAGTTTTTCGGCCATCTCCCTGGTGCACGCTCTGTTCTGAACATCCGTTTGTCTTTTAAAGAGATATTATTCGAATTATAAGGTGCAACAACCACCCAAGTGTGTGAACCGCCAACGTGCGAGCAATCGACAGCCGGTGGGCACTCATGTACGAGGCAGTTCATGGGTGGATGATCCGCAAGGCTTTCAAAAGCACCGTAAAGTTTAAGTGAATTTCACCCACTGAATATTTACCCACTCTGTCGCATTTTCAAAGTGGGTCATTAAGAGGAGATGTTTGTCTGCTGTGTTTCCAAATGATGTTTAAAAAACTTTTGACACGTTTTTGAATCGTGCACGCCTGTTAGTGCCTTGGCCCGAGCAAGAGTGCCACAATGTCAAAACATAGCTACATCCGGCAAATCATTTCATCAATCGCAGGAGCCCTACGTACGTTGGTTTTAACCAGTATTTCCTTGACCAAGCCGAAAGTTTCACGCATAGGCGAATCTTCCGACAAAGTCACACACGATAACCCCCGACGTCCTTGAAATACACCGCAAAGAAGGCGTATAGCTTGAATTTACAAAACAAAACGCAGATGCATCTGAAACAATTACCCGGAAAGATTCATGCTACCCGTGACAGAGGAGTCTACGATGTCTAAGGGAAGTCGAACGAAAGCTGTTGTTTGCGTGCGGGTAAACACATGTGACCAATAACATGGTCCTATTTCGTCCCGGGTACATGGTCACGTTCCCAAAGTTTTGCAAGTAACGACAAAGTGTCATCTAATTTTGAAAGTAAACTTGACATACTAAACAAAGGATGTTGGCACCCGACGCAGTGGTTGTAGATATCATGGGTGGTCAAAACGTCCCCAGGTTTATCTGTAACGCATCGCTGCACTCAAGGCAATAGACTCCCATATTGCAGCCCTTACTGCACTCTTATTTTACCGTGCCCGGACGTCAGTTGATCAGCACTCAACATAAAATCCCTGCCATGTGTGTGGCTGCGCCTAATGTTGTAGGATGTCACACTCAAGGTGTCACATACCAAACGCCCGGTACAGGGTGTCCACTGCACTCATATTTCACCGTGCCCCGGACGTCAATTGATCAACACTACACATAAAATCCCTGCCATGTGGGTGGCTGCGCCCAATCTTGTAGGATATCACACTCAAGGCATCACATACCAAACGCCCGGTACAGGGTGTCCTGTGTCATAAAAATCCAACGCATTTACCACGTTGAGTGAATCCCCGGCTTGGCCTCGTATGACAGAATGACTGCTGCAAAAACGCTCCATTATCATTCATCAACGTCATCGATAGCATAACATATACACCAATGCTTCACTGCCGTAAAACGGATGATTAATTTGAAAGTCCTATTGTGAAGAAAAGGAAAAGATGGACAGAAACGGCACTTGCTATGAGCTCACTCCAATAATTTCGAGGCGCATACACCTTCAAACATTCGTTCAAGAAATCTGGACAGAAACCGAAAACAAGATCGCCACTGCCATCGCACAGCAGCCAAATCCAGCAGCGTCTCCAACCAGGCGTAGTGAGAATCATGCGGTCCGTATCCTGGAAGGCGAGCAACACCGACAGAACCCGAACGTTTCGTGATTTCTTTTTTCTAGTTTACCTAGCCACCTCTTGTCAACTTCTCTGCTTCTACCACTCTGAATTGGGAATGGCATTCAGCACTCTTCGGAAAACGATAGTTCGGCATACGCAACACGTCCCAACCAACGCAGCTTCTGGTGCTGGACATATCCTTCAGTGGAAGTACCCCATTACACAATCGAAAACTCACTTTCCAATTGCCCAGTTACAGACACGCCAACACCAACCCACACGAGCTATGGTTCCGGGGCAACGATTGTTGAACACCTAAAGACGTCTCATTACGCTGCTCGAACTGGCTAGGTCTCAGCTACACAAGAAAACAGCCCTCATTGTAGCTTGGTACACACGTGCCTTGAGATTCAGGGACACACCACTTTGACGTCGTAGGTGCCTCAGATTAGCAAACGCGACCCGAACCTTGCAGATTAGTTGACATTATCTGTCACACTAGAATCAGAAACAACACAACTTTTTAAATACGTAAAACGTGTCCCAACTTCCATAGCCTCACCCCGGATTGTTAGTGGCGTGTTCAGTGACTGCATGTCCAGGAGCATGACCCTTACTATGTGGGTGTCAATTGCATTCCAAAGGATGGGATGACTTTGGAAGGTTCATCCGAAAACACTTGCGCCTTCTCCTCTTCTTCGAAGATAAGTACGACGTCATATGCATATTCCGGAGCGACAAGGTTTTCGTCACAGGCTGTTTAGACACTGGGGTTTTAGGGACTCCCCAGCGTTCGATCGAAGTTAAACAGGAATGGGGGAAAGTGGGCATTCCTGACGGGTACCACTTTGTGGTCATTGCCAAAAATTTGACAACCAAAATAAGTTCAAACCAGCAGTTGCATGCAGACAACCGTTCACTATTATGGATCCCCTAAATTTAAGGCGAACCGCAGAGTCATCGCCAATAGGGTATGCATAGG